GAGGGCCCCGTGGCCCCGGGGCAGGCCACAGGTCCGGCCAAAGGCTGGAGGGCCGAAGGGCGCCGAAGGGCCGGCCGACCCGATTTACTGCACCGCAGTGCCGCGTAAAGGGAGCGCCCTTCACTTTTTCCATTGGAAGCAAGGACAAGGACACTCGCAGGGAAGGGCCGATGCTTTGTGGACCGAGACTGCCGGCGTACCTCGGAAAATCGTCTGATGCCTGTCTCATGGCGATACGCACCCGAAAAAGGTGGCTCTTGATTTTTCAATATTCAACACCCGGATCGGATGAAATTGGAAGGGATGACTTTTACGTCTCTTTCCAAACTTACATTTAAAATTAACTCTTCTTTTAACAAAATTTTGCTCTTAGAAAGTCGAGAACAAATCAACAAAGAGGCGGCAAGGGTCCGTTCTCAACAACTTTGGTGACAGCCTTGTATCTATTATGCACACGGTCACGTCGAAAGAGACGCCGCAGTCGCCGTCCCGACGACGCGACGCCCAGACTCGTCCATGTCGACTCCCCAAAGGGCAGCCTGGAACAAAGCGTTGCGCGGCAGGAAGCGTCTGAATGTATGGCAGCAAGTGCAACGAGGCCGAGGCCGCGCTGTGTACCGACCGGGCCGTGCCGCAGCGCGGCGGCCTCGGCCATCAAGTAGCGTGGGCGCCATGGAGTCTCCGCAGTGCAGGGGGTCTCCAGGGCCTCCAGGGCCTCCAGGGCCTCCACGGCCTCCAGGGCCTCCAGGGCCTCCAGGGCCTCCAGGGCCTCCAGGGCCTCCAGGGCCTCCAGGGCGCGCGGTGACGGCGGCCATCCTCACTCATTCGGCGGCCGTGGAGCACTGCGGAAAACAAAGTGCGCAAGCAATCACTGATCCCGTGATCCTCATGTCGACCCGCTAAACGGAAAAGAATAACTTCGAATTTCGCTGGAGAAAGATTTGTCTCTGTTTTCCTCTATAAAACAACTTTTTGTGCATTTTGATTGCTGAGCACCCCTTTTATTTCGTAGTGATATTTTTTACTCGGAGATTATGATCGATTCAATAGTATATGGCGCGTAGAGATGCGATTCGACGGCCATCATTCGGAAAGGAGCCTCTTACGTCTGGAAGCGGGGGCCGCAATCGCCGCAAGCAGGCGCAGGGCTGCAACACTTCCAGGAAACATATTCCTCCCTGGCACTCGGCCCACATGTGACTGCGCGGAGGGCCTACTCAATGGACGCCATACTGCAGTGCCGCCACTCTGTCTCTGATTTACGTGACGCGCTCCAGTTTTTTTCTGTTCCTTTCCCCGAGCTGCATCCTGCGCTGCTTATACAGATAATGCCGGTGACCGGGAAGTAGCACACGCTCTCTGTACGGACGAACCAATGCCCCCTGCAACAGAATGGCATGACCCAATCAACTATCTCAGAATTTAATCGTTACTTTGTCTAACTTCTAAAAATTCGTCCAAGTATGACGGACTTTATCTCGGTGGAAATTTGCCACCCGCGGGCTTTTCATAACCGACCGAAAATACCGTAATCTCCTTTCCGTTGCTGAGCTTGTCACAAACTCTTTAGAATGAGGTCAAAGACACCTGCCGACTCGCCCTCCGCCGGGCCGCCGGGCGCCGCGCCCCTCGAAAACGTCTCCCCGCCTGGCAACAGTCGGCGGCGGCGTGGATACGAAACCGGCCGCGTGTGCGGGCTGGGAGCAACGGCGACGGCCGCTTCGGCAGCGAGCGACACAACACGACGGCGGACTTTAACCGCGCTTTTCTGCATTGTGCACTGCGAGGCCAGAGGCAGGTCGGGGCGGCAGGTGAGGTGGGGCAGGGCGGGGGCGCCAAGTGGCTGCCAGAGGGTGGGCGGGGGCCCGGCCGCGGTGTAGCGCCTCATGTACTCCTGTGTCCAACTTTTATTGGCTGGATGCTGCCCTTGGTTGGCGCCTTGCCCGGCCTTTCTCGCCTGCTTCGCCCTGCTTCGCGCTTCGCCCCGCCTCGCCGTGGCGCCACAATACGCCAGGCAACGCCGAGGCACAAATAACTCTCTTTCTCTTTTTTCTCTTTTTTGTCCGGGGGCGCCGCCTTTAAGATGTGCACAGGAAACATAAATCTGGAAATGGCTGCTGGCTCCCTGAGGAGGGTGCGGCCCTCGGCCTCCTGCTCGGCCTCCTGCTCGGCCCGTTGACCACGCAAAAGGCGCTGTTTAGCTCCCGAGGCTGTGAGGTGGGGCCTGCCGCCGGCCGGAGAGGGGATACATTTCGCGGGAAAAGTTAATTTACACTCGAGCCGCCCGCCCGCCGCCTACATCAGATCCGATCGCAGACATGTCTTTCCGCCAAATACCGGAGCGCGGCGGCGCGGCGCAGGCGACCCCCTCCCGTCGAGGACATTGAGATATATTGGATGTAGTGAGATGAGAATCCCAAGCCACCAGCCTCGAAATCAACTTGCCGAAGGTACAGCCAAGGCGCAGCGAGCGCGGCGCGGCGCCTCCAAAACCCCTCTCGCCGTCAAGGACCGTATCCGAAGCGCCCCTCTCGGTGTCACTCCCTCTCCCCTCCCTTCAACCCTTTCCAAACACATCATCATTCGGCAACGTTCTGCACACAGCGTCATTGTGCGCGGGAGAGGAAAAGGAAACAGGAAAAAACGGGCAACTTGCACTCGCAAGACACATGCTTGCTGCTTGTTTTTTAGGTTAGTCTCTCAGACTACGGACAGGGCTCCGGTGAGGCACCCGAGGAATCCCAGCAGGCTTTCCTTTCCCGCGCGATGAGTGTGTTTTTCGTTTTTCATTTTTCTCGCCGCCAGCGCCACTCACCCTTTCCCCTTTCCAACGCGGCGCCTCCTTTATGCCCGTCTTGGGCGCCCGGATCACCCCGGATCGCCTCGCCGGAACGCCCCGGAACGCCCCGGAACGCCCCGGAACGCCTGTCTGGCGGTGTGCTCTCCGCGGCGTTTGCCTTGTTCGCCAACAGGGAGCGCGGCAGGCAAATACATGGCGGCAACGCTCTCCATTACCCGTGCCGCCATCGCGCGGTTTTACATATTTTTCAAATTCATCCTCTAGGAATGCCACCGCCCCCCTTCGCCCCCTCCCCGGCCCCCACGCGTGGAAAGGGGCGGGGCCGGCGGATTGATGGCCCGGGCTGCTGGCGGTGCTGGTGGCGCGGCCGTAGTGGCCGCTAGCGTGCGGCGGCGCGGCCTCGGCTGAGTTAGGACGCCGGGGATGCTCGCGACGGCCAGGTCCGCAACCCTCCTGGAATTGACCGGTCCAAAGCGGCGGGTCGTCCGCGGTGGAAAGTGGAAGTGCCCTGTAAAGAGAGCCGGACGGGCTGCTTGCCGTCCTACGCGGCGCTGCGGTTCGTCCCGCACGTCCGGTACGGGCGCAGCGCTGCCGCGGACCAAGGCGCCGCCGCCAGGATGGCGTCATGGCGTAGAGACGCCGCCGATGACCGAGAAAATTTATTCAGCGCGATGCTCGGTGGCGGGGCGCGGCCGCGCGGCGTGGCGCCCGGGACACGATAAGCGCTTTCCATCAGGCGAAATACAAGGACCTCCGCCCGGGATGGCTCTCACTTCGCCTCACGATGCGGCCCTGCTGGCCCTTCCGGCCACTGTACCTCCGTCACCTCTTTCCCACCGCAGCTTTTCCTGCGTGCGAGGCGTATTGCTTTTATTTCCCTAAAAATAATAATATTCGTCGTAAAAATGGCATATAAACGAGGCCGGCCATTATTATACGGCTTGAGTATTCGCCGCGCGGCACGATTGCCATGCCGGCTCGGATTGGCCGCTGATTCGCTGATTGCGTCCTGCATGGAATCTTTATGCCCCCGCCCCACTCCTGCCCCACTCCCCTTCCCCGCGGGCACCGTGCCTGCCTAATAAAGTCCACTCGCCGACGCGGGGTCTTCTTCCCTGACTGTCCCACCGCACAGCAAGGCCGCCCTGCGTTCCATTCCGCGCGCTCCGCCTGTCCGCCCGTCCGTCGGCCCGTCCAAGGAATTCATTTCCTGCCGGCTCCGCCGAGAGCTCCGCCGTGCGAGTAGCGTCGGTGGGTTTCGACCTGCCGATAGTTGGCGGTAGTTGTCCTGGCAGCTTTGCCCGGACGTGGCGGTGCATCTTTGGCAGGCTGCAGCGGTAGTCGTGTGCAGGCAAGCCGAGGCAAGGCATGCAATTTCCTCTCCGGGGCGTGGATGGCCAGGCGGGCGGGCAGGCAGGCGCGCTAAGCCAGCCAACAGGTGGCTCGGTCCAAGCTCAGCTGGTGCTGCGACGCCGCCACCGCCGCCCCGCCGCCCACCCCTCCCCGCCCCCGCGCAAGGTGCACACACAAAGGGCCGACTGGCCTGACGGCGGCGGGCTTTATAACCCCATCCCCGCACGCACACTGCCACACACCCCGTGCTATCTGCGCCACATCATCGACCACACGTCGATCCCCACCTGGCTGCCGTGCCGGCCGCGCCCCGCGAGGGGCCCCGGGCCCCGGCAGTGTTTTAGAGCGTCTATTGTTTTATAACCGTCAATAAATGCGACGGATGTCAAAACGGGCGGGCGCAGGCCTTTATACCCGGAAGCACGAGGCTTCCTGTGTCGTGCAATAGAGGCCCCCTCCCCGCTTCGGCCCTCGCCACTAAATTCCACCCCTGCCATTCTGCCATAACAAAAGCACCCGTTCAAAGAAATTATGGGCTTACAGGAAAACGGCGCTCCTCCTGTGTTTCCTGCCGCCTTTTACTTCGCAGCCTGGAAGGAGGCGTTAAACCGGCCTGCAAAATGATGAAAATGTAAAAGTCGAACTTGTTCCGAATCGCCCTCCCCCCCCCCTTCCCCCTTTCGCGTGTGCTGCGACGACGGCCTCGTGGAGTGAAAGAAGGCCACGGCACGTTAAGGGGGATATAAAACTTGTTACTTTGAATAAACCACCGCTGCGTGCCGGCTGGTCGACCCTCTCTCTCTAACATCCTGTGCTCTAACATCTCTCTCGCTTTCTCTCTTTGCAGACCATGTGCGGACTTTCTCCTGCGGCAAGCTGTACTACCGTTCCATGTACCTGGACGAGGAGCGGGACGCCCTGTTCTTGGGGGCCATGTAAGTACGAACTTAAAGAAAAAGATCAAACAAAAACAAATAAGTTATAGCAGGTTGGGTTTTGAACATACGACCATGTGTGGTCTAGCCCTTAATGGTAATGGTAATGTCGGCCGCTGGGTAGGCAATCCGTACGCGGCCTTGCCGCCGGGACTGCCTAGCCGCTGTCTGACAGGGGCCTGTGGCAGTGTTGCCTACCGTTTTTAGCCAATATAGCGCACACCTTGGCCTCGTTTTGCTCGCTCTGCAACCCTGAAAAAATTGCATCCAACTGCGTCGTTTGTTGTGTGCGGCGACGATTTCCAGGAACACCTGCATATTCTGCGCGCGCTCCGGGCGGTCGTGGCGCGCCGCGCGCGTCTGCACGGTGCGCCCCGCGCGAGGCCTCGCGCCACAGGCGAAGCCAGGGTGGCGGGGTGGGGGTGAGACGGGGTGAGAGCCAGCGTGACACCAAACCTCTTCTCTCTCTGAGTCTCTCTCTGTCTCTCTATCTCTGTCACCCTACGATCGCCGGCTGCCCTCATAAGGCGGTCCTTCATGTTTTTGTAAGAAAAATAATCTTGACACAAGAAAAATTTTCTTTATTCAAGAAAAAAAAAATTGGATTAAAAAAAAATTTCTTGCAAAAACCAAGAAAAGTTAAATTTTTTTTGATCCAAGAAGTCATTTTTTTTTGGGTGTGGAAGGCTAGCCGTCCTACAGAAGCTGAACTATGCGGTAGCAGTTTAAAGCCTGGATACACCGGTTCCCATCCGAACACCGAAGTTAAGCAGGCGGCTCGAACCCCATTCCGGGGAGAGAGGGTCGTAGGGTTCAAATTTTTTACGTTTTATTTTAAACCAAATTTTATATGACTCCGTCGTGGGTACCATGTGCCCGGGGACGGGGACGCTATCGGCTTACGGCCTCCCACGGCGCGCTCCTCGCCGCGCCCCGCCCCCTAGTCCCGCATTCACTTCGTGATGCCTCCGTTTGCTTTTCGTTTCCAATCAGGCTCGGCCATCAAGCGGTCAGACCGATAATTGTTTCGAATATTTTCTTCCCCGTGCCGTGCCGACCCTGCACCCTCCTACTATTAACCCCATCGCGAGGCGCACGACAGCGGGGTCGGCGTCCAGCCTGGCGGGCAGGCAGGCAGGCAGGCTGTGCCGTGGGGGAAATGAGCATCTACCCACGTAACGCAATAAAGCTATAACTCCTTCCGTTTGCGTCTACCTCCCTGCGTACGGCGGTGTGGCGAGGTCGAGGGGAGGGGGTGGGGGTGGGGCGCAGCCAGCCAGCAGCCAGCCAGCAGCCAGCCAGCAGCCAGCCAGCAGCCAGCCAGCAGCCAGCCAGCAGCCAGCCAGCCAGCCAGCCCCGCGGCGTGGACGGGCCTTGCCACGCGCGGCTGGTCAAAGGGGCGTCGGGAAGCGCGGGTGCCGGGGTGTAGTTAAGCTTCAAAGCGATAAGAGAATCGGTGCGAACGCGAACGCCTCGGCGGCGGGCCGTGGCGGCCGTGGCGGCAAGGCGGCAAGGCGCGCGGCCTGCGGGCGGCGCGGGCGGCACCTCCTCGCCGTATGCGGCAGCACTCCACCTGGCACGCGGCCGCCCACCACCCCGCGGCGCCCCGCCCACCGTCACCGTCGACGGCCGCCCACCAGTAATCCGGTCGCATGCCACCCGGGTTGAAATATGCAGCGCAAGCCGCGAGGGGCGGCGAGGGGCGGCGAGGTGGACGAGGCGGAGTGTCACTATGACGCAGGTCCAGGCGAAAGGGACGCCCACGCCTTGGATTGCTCTCTATTTCGAGACTCACCCCACTGCGAGGGTTGTTGACGTGACGCGGTGACGGGTAGCGGACCGCTGTCAAGCCCAGCCGTCCCGGCGGCACGTGGCTGCATCGCGGGGCGGGGCACTGTGGCGGCGCTGCATCGCGCTGGAGTGCGCGGCCGTGGGGAGGGGCGGCGGGGTGAGATTTTGAGTGGTGGCGCGGGGCGGCGCGGGGGGCGCTGCTCTGCGGTCGGTGTTTAGCGCCTCGCCGGCCTCGCGTGCTGCCGTGCCGTGGGGCTGGGCCGGTCCGGGATCACGCGATGTGGCGGGGCAAGGCGGGGCGCGGCGGGGCGGGGCGCGGCGGGGCGCATCATTCGACTCGTACCGAGGGCCACGGCGCGCGGCCCGTCGGGATGGTTGCACGATGTCGGCGGACGACGGCCAGCCCTCCCTCCGCCTGCTCCGCCCCACGCACGCTGCCTTGCCGCGGTCGGTGAGTGCCGAGTGGAGGTGCTCGGTGCGCGCGAGGATGAGTTACGAGTCCGGCCTAATGAGACTGTAAACCGACTCAACGCCCCGCCATCAGGTCTCCGCCCTCACCACCCTCAAGTAGAGCGCCGTCCTTGCGGCCGCGGGGCGGCACCGCCGGGCACCGCGGTGCCTGCCGTTTGGTCCGAACAGTGCTGTCTCCATGGCAGGCGTGGCTCCGAAGCCACCGCTCGCGGCTCGTTCGCGTATTCTCCTCGTGGACCGGCCGGCTCGTCGGAGGGCTCGTCCGAGGGCTCGTCCGAGGGCTCGTCCGAGGGCTCGTCGGCCTGACACCGGCGCACTTTCTCTCCCCGAATGGCGGCGGTAACGGCCCCCGCGAGCCTCACCGGCACTTCCAGTGTAGGCCGAGCTCGGCGCCGCGTTGCCGCGCTGCGCAATTGAAGGCGGTAATTACATTTAAATCATTCCCGCCAACAATTAGTCCGGCAAAAACAACGCCGCCGACCCCAACTTTAATAATTAGCCCGAAGGAAAGGTGAGCGCAATTAGGGACTCTACAAACAATCGGGGCGATAAGGGCTCCACTTGCATTGCAGGGCGCAGGGCGCGCCGGTCCTCGAAGAGAGCCTCGAAGCGAGCCTCGAAGGACCGCCGAGGCATTCTCAACGGCCCCTCTCTCGTTATCGAAAGGGCGCCGCGAAACAGAAACGCATTTCGATCGATCGATTGCGAAACCCAGTGTCGACCCCGTCGTCATCGCGTTTCGATGGCAATAACAATAGGCAGATTATAACTCCAGCCCGCCCCGCCCCGCCCCGCCCTGCCGCGCCCCGCGCGGTCCGGCCGTCCGGTGGCGTGCTTCAAATTGGCGCGGTGACTGACAGGCGTCGCCCCGCGCTGCCTGGCGCTGCCTGGGCCGCGGCGACGCGTCTTCTCGACACAATCTCTGCGTGCTGTGCAGTGCCGTGTCGATTTAGCGGCCGCACGAACGGAGTGACCGCCAAGTGGGCCACATTATGGCCACATGAAATATGCATGGCACCTTTTCGAGGCTTTGTTTTGGGTTTGGCGCGGCGTGACGTATCCGCGGCGTATGAAGTCGATGAGCCCATGTCCCTGCCAATGGTTGCCAAGCGCCTCATCGCCCCATCGTCGTGTGGACCGTGTCTAACGTCGCTTCTCGCTTCTGTTTCTGTTTTTTCAGGGACCGGGTCTTCAGGCTCAACCTCGGCAACATCAGCCATTCGCATTGTGAGGTGAGAACAAACGGCGGTGCCCGGAGCTGGTGGTAGAGTCCGCACCACCGCGCCGCCGCTCGAGAGGCTCGATCGCTGCGGCGTTCGCCAAGGCGTTCACGCTCCCGGTGCGGCGCGCGAACCCGCCAGCACCGACAACAACAACAACAACAAAACAACAACAGCAACAACAACAAGCTCGGCGATGGTGGACCGCAGAGCTGTTGTTGAAAGGAAGCTAAGCGTGCCCGCGAACTGCCCCGCCCCCCCCTCTTTCGACACCGCGGGACGGCCACCGTGTTGCATGCATTGTACTTTTGACAGGCTGCACTGGCGGGCGGACAAAAGCCGCCGGTTAGCACGGCCTGGCGCCGGAATACAAGCCACTTCCGGTGCCTGGGTTCAAATGCCGGTTTTATCCGGGGTTCCTTTTTTTTAAGAGGAGGGGGATGGGTAACTGAAACGCGCCGAGCCGGTGCTGACAGAAGGGGGCCATGGCAGGTTACGCGCGTTATTCGCCTGCGTGTCTGCGTCTGTGTGTGTGAGTGCGTGTTTCTGTGTGTGTAACTTCCGAATGCAGCATAGGGCGGCGCCGGCCGGGGAAATGATGTTGCAATTGGGCGCGGTTAGCGGGGCGATTCGAGCCGGGGATATCCCGGCACTGTAATGCAGAGAGAGAGGGAAGAGGGGGGGGGGGGGTAATTGGCGGGGGGAGGGGGAAGAGGGGATTATTGTATGGGATGAGACGATAGAGAACGCGATGATCGAAGGGCAAGGCAAGGCCGAATTGACTTTAAGGGAACAATTGGTAATGGCGGGGGTGGGGAAGAAGGGGTGACCAGAGAATGCCAATTCAGGATAAGGGAGAACAGGCCGCCGCGTCCAGAACAGCGGATTTTTTTACGGTGGAACTGCGCCATTTTTCGGTCATGTCCTTGTAGCCGCGAGTACAAACGGCCTGTGGTCTCCGGCACTGAATGCACCTAGGTCGATACCTGCAGGCCTCGCCCTTTTTCCTGTACCCAGTGAATGCCGATAAAAGTTAATGATTAATTAATTCAGCGCATGCCATGTATTGAAGCCGGTTACTCCGTGTGTTGCAGAAGGACTCCCTGCTGCTGGAGCCCACCAATGTGGCCAACTGCGTGTCCAAGGGCAAGTCCGAGGTTGGTATTGTGCGGCCATTGTGGCTGGCCGTGGCTGGCCCTGGCTGGCCCTGGCTGAGGGTGATTGTGCATGCCTCTTTGTAGCCTGCCCCGGACAGTGTCCCCCTGCGCCCCCCACCCAAGGCCTCGGCCCCGCCTGACCCCCGGCGCCTTCCTTTGTCGCAGCACTTCGACTGCCGGAACCACATCCGCGTCCTGCAGCCCGTCGACGACGGACGCAGACTGTACGTGTGCGGGACCAACGCCCACAGCCCCAGGGACTGGGTCATAAATGTGAGTACACTGTCTGCATCACGTCTGTGTGTGCGCGTGTGTGTGTTTTGTGTGTACGTGTGGCACACAGGTTTGCAGCTCCCTCCGTCATTACACAGACATGCACAAACGTGTGCCCCCCCCCTTCCCCCTCCCCTGCTCGAGGCACCCCGCAGGCCGTCCTCCACCGCGGGGCCCCGTCGGAGGGCCGGCCCCGCCACCACCTGGCCGCCCTGCCGGCCGGAATGGCCACTTTGGCGAGTCCCCGCTGACGGAAGTCCCCGATGAGGCCAACGAGGGCCAGCCCGCCAGCCAGTCCGCCAGCCAGTCCGCCAGCCAGTCCGTGTGCCGGTGCGGCCGGTGCGGGGTGCGGGCAGTTGAAGAGGCCCGTGCATAATCCAAGTGGCGGGTCGGGAACAAACGCCGCCAGATTGTGACCTCCGTCGCCACCGTCGTGGCGGGGTGACCTACCCTTCCTGTCGGTTCATGACCTATCGTGGATTGACGTGCACCCCGAACCCGAACCAGGCCCGACAAACATGACGTGTGCAATAAAATGCTCGTACATGTTTTGACGGGCGGAAAATAATTCCTTGACCCCACCGTGAGAGTCCATGCGTCGTGAGTGGATCTTGCATCTCAATGTGACGCATTGTTACTTATACGCTCACAAGCACGCCCGCAACAGCTACTTAGGGTAAAATAAGAAGGCACCCCTGTGCGCAAGCAGTCCGACCCCCTCCCTCCCAGTGGCTCAGAATAGAGGCCGCCGTGCCATTAGACCATGTTTAATGCACACTGCTGGGCGAGGCGAGAGGCGCCGCGGCGGTCGATCGTCTCGGTACAGTAGTGCACCTCAGTTCGGCGGAGTGGAAACTTGCCGGCGCCTCCAGGGGAAGATTTTCCGCTTTTCCGCGGCCACGACGGAGAGGGTCTTGGCGCAGTCTGGCGCGGTACGGGTGACCCCGCGGCCTCGGCCTGCCAGCCCCGCCAGCCCCGCCAGCCCCGCCAGCCCCGCCGCCAACACACTTTGGCAGTCTTAATTTCCATTAGACTGGGAATGGCCCTGTGCCGTGTAAATGGCGCAAGTTTGCCTGTCACTTCCTTCTTTGTGGCCTACACCGCCATCAGGCCGTCGCGGCGTCGCGCGCCAGCTCGGCCCGGTCGCCTGCACCGGTAAAAAGAACGGCTGTTTCCTTGTCAGCGTTTTGCAACGTTGCTTTCGAGACACTCGAAGGGCATTAGTCGGAGGCGCGACTGGGAATCACGCGCTGCAGACTTTGATTCGCCACTCTAGACACTATCCTTATCGCGAAAGCGTCTCGTCGAAGCGCGGCGGCCCCGCGCACACCGTACGGTGGCTCAGCCGGCCCAGTCATACGATCATGTGTGGTCTAGCCCATAATGGTAATGGTAATGGTCTCAGCCTGGGAGGTTGGCCGACCGGGGACAGCGCTGCGCGGCGGGACTGCCTACCCTCGCCGCCGCAGGCGCCTCGGTCAGGCTGCAGGTGGCCGCTTCTGCAGACTGGGACGCCGGACAAGGGGAGGGCCGCGACGGCCGCGACGCGACATTCCGCATTAGCACGTCATATACGCAGGACGCAGGACGCAGGATGCTGTGCTTATCCTCTTCGCTGCACCGCGTGGCGTGGCGCGGAACTGCGGCGCATCGGAAGCATCGGAATCCCTAATGCCGATTTACCGCCCCGCCGTTACTCCTGCTAGGCTGGCTGCTGCTGGCTCCACGGACGCCCCGATCGCGCTGATCCAGATAGTGGCCGAGGGGAGGGGGAGGGGAGGCGAGCCCACTCGGGACTCATTAGTGCAGTGCGACACCTGGTCCAGCAGCGCACAGATGCACCGGTCGAGGTCTGTCATTATTTACGGACGTGTTTGTCTGCGTGTCTGTGACCGTGTGCGTTTGTGTGAGTGTGTGTCCGTGTGCCGCGCGGCCGGAGCACCGCGGTCGTCAATACTCCTCGCCGCCGACAGCCCCGGTGCGGCGGTGGGTCCCCGAGACGCGGGGTACCTGCATTGCATCATCGTTACCGCCGCGATGATTGGGCCCTTCCTTCGCCCCCGGCCCTTGGCCCCGGCCCTTGGCCCTGTACTTACACTGCGGCCCTGCGGCGGCCCTTGGCCCTGATCAATACGTCTCCGTGGGTGTCTAGTGACTAAGTACAAGGCTCAGCGGAAGGCCGAGGGAGCCGACCGCCACCCCATCAACTAACCGCCCTTAATTGTCATTTAGCAAACACCGCTCAGCTGTTTCGCGAGCGAGGCCGTGCTGGCGCATGCTGGAGTGGTGGGCTCGAGTGACGCTCCGCGGGTGTGTGTTGCAGTGGAACCTGACCCACCTGAATCGGCAGCAGTTCGTGCCGGGCGTGGGGCAGGGCGCCGCCAAGTGCCCCTACGACCCGGCGGACAACTCCACGGCGCTGTGGGTGCGCGACGGCAACCCCGGCGGGCTGCCCGGCCTCTACTCGGGCACCAACGCCGAGTTCACCAAGGCCGACACCGTCATCTTCCGGTCCGACCTGCACAACATGACAACGGGCCGCAGGGAGTACACGTTCAAGCGGACGCTCAAGTACGACTCCAAGTGGCTCGACAGTGAGTATCAGTAGTACGGCGCCTGATTAGAAGCCGCGGTTGTCAGGCGAGAGCGGCCCTGTTGGGCAAGCCGTTCGAGTGAGTCCAATCTATTTATGGCTACCTCGAGTGCTTCCCGACAGGCCGGCGGCTCCTCTGTGACCTGGCGGAACACGACTGAGTCACGTTGACAGGAAAAGTTTGAGATTGCTGTCACCGATACGTGTCACAGTGTCGCGTTGTCGCCGGCGCTCTCGCCCACTCCCTTTCCCCGGCAGTGCACGCGCTCGTCCACTCTCTCTCCATGACCCCAATTCCCGAAATTAAATTATAAATTTGGGAATGGAGCTCTGCGGCCATCCCCGCGCCGGGCCGAGCGGCCCCAGGGGCTGCCCGTCGTGGGCTGCCCCGCCACCGCGCACGCAGTCGTCGTCGCCAAGCCCGGCGTGCGCGCGGAGGACGGCACGGACGGGCCGATTTCGAACGGCGCTCTGTCTCTCTCGTACGCATGGGGCGTTCCGTAAGGACGCGAGAGAGACAGAGCGACGAAGCACCGTTCGGAATGAGGCTGCCGGCGCGGACGGCGCGGACAGCGCGTCGCGTGCGTCACGACTTGACTCGTCATGACGGCCTGGCGTGGTGCCGTGGCGTGCCGCGGCTTGCCGTCTTATTTTGCCTCATCAACGTCATTATGCTCGTCGCGGGGGTGCCGCTCGGGGCCGCGGCCGCCGGACTCGCGTTCCTGGAAACCGTGCGCCGCCGTCGCGTGCCGGGCGCCGCGATGACCCCCAACTCCAACCCCTCCCCCATCCCTCGTCTCCGTGGGAGACACAATTATCAGGAAGAGGACCGCCAAACGGAGCCCACGGAAAAGTTTGGTGCCCGCGTGTGTGAGTGTGTGTGTGTGTGTTTGTTGTGCTTAGCCGGCAGACTCCGGCTGAACTGGCTGAGTGAGTGCAGGCAAACTTTTTCCATTGTCAGTGACCGGCCACTGCGGTAACGGATGAGGCCGTGCGGTGCTGGGCGTGCTGGGGTAGGGGGTGGAGGGGGTCGTCCGGCCAACTGGCTACGCTGGCTACGGCTCTGCGGCGACCCTGCCTTATCCCGACTCCTAATTCCTGCAGGCATGCCAACTGTAATGCGAGACGTCTGGCGGGTTATGTTGGCTGCCCTTGCATTGTCCTGATCCACTCGCACTGTCTCCAGAGCCCAACTTCGTCGGCTCATACGACGTCGGCGACTACGTGCTGTTCTTCTTCCGCGAGACGGCCGTGGAGTACATCAACTGCGGCAAGGCGGTGTTCTCGCGCGTGGCCCGCGTCTGCAAGCGCGACACGGGCGGCAAGAACATCCTGGCACACAACTGGGCCACCTACCTCAAGGCGCGCCTCAACTGCTCGCTCCCCGGCGAGTTCCCGTTCTACTTCAACGAGATCCGTAAGTTTTTCGCGGCGAGCGTTGTGCGGCGTTTGCTGCGCGTCGACACTACTTGGCAACTCTTCCTCCCCAGAGAGCATCTACCGCCCGGTGGAGGACCCCAACCACTTCTACGGCGTTTTCACCACCAGCACGTACGGACTCACGGGCTCGGCCATCTGCGCCTTCACGCTGCAGGACATCCACGAGGCCTTCAGGGGCAAATTCAAGGAGCAGGCCACCTCCACGTCAGCTTGGCTGCCCGTCCTCACAAGCAAGGTGCCCGAGCCGCGGCCCGGCGAGTGCATCAACAACACTGAGAGCCTGCCAGGTAAGTCGAGCACCCACGCGCGCCACCCCCACTCGAGGCGCCCTACCTCCTCCACTCTATTTCTCGCTGGCAGATGCAGCAAGCGCTATCCCCACCCCAACGCTCTGCCCCCCACCACTACAATTCCCTCCCTTGCAGACACGGTGCTCAACTTCATCCGGTCGCACCCGCTCATGGACTCTGCCGTGTCGCACGAGAACGGCAGGCCCGTGTTCTACACGCGGGAGACCACCTTCACTCGGCTGGCCGTGCACCTGGTGCGGCAGCAGGACAAGCTGTACCGCGTCTTCTACGCCGGCACTGGTGAGTGGCTTCAGCTTCTCGAGAGCTTCTGACCAGACAAGCCTTGACCTTTCCGCCTTTCCACCCCAGCTGGCGGCCAGGTGTACAAGATCGCCCAGTGGGCGGCAGGCGAGGGCTCCGCGCTGCTGGACGTGTGGGAGGTGACGCCCGGAGAACCAGTCCGCCTCCTGGAGTTGTCCGAACGGCACCAGTCCCTGTACGCCGCGTCCGACTCGCGCGTCCTGCAGGTGAGCTAACCCCCGAGGCCGAAGTGTGTTCCTCCCACTGGGTGTCTTGTATTTACCAACGGCGGCGTGCTGGCGTGCTCCAGGTCGGGTTGACGCAGTGCTCCCGGCGACACTCCAGCTGCCTGCGCTGCGTCCGGGACCCGTACTGCGGCTGGGACAGCGAGGCGCGGTCCTGCAAGCCGACGGGGGCCAGCGAAGGGTAAGCAGAGCGGAGCAGAGGGCTCACAGCTGAATCCATCTCAATTTGGGATTTTTCTAATGAGCGGCGACTTGTCCCCGCCCCGCCAGGCTGCTGCAGGACGTGGAGGGCGCGCTGCCGAGGCTGTGCGACGGCGCGGTGGCGCGCAAGCAGCTCACGGTCACGTGGGGGCAGTCCGTGCATGTGACGTGCTTCGCCTCCGTGCCGCCCCCCGCGCCGCCGCACCGCGCCGCCGCGCAGCCCCAACGGCCGCCGCTGGTGTGGACGCACCACGACCAGCCCGTCGCCTTTCGGCCCGAGAAGTACGTGGAGACGGCCGCGCACGGCCTCGTCATCCTAAGCGCGGTGCAGCAGGACGCCGGCCGCTACGACTGCCTGCTCGACGGCCGCCTGCTGTGCTCCTACAACGTGACCGTCAGCACGGAGCGGTGCGGCGCACCGGGCCGGCCCCAGGACTACCACAAGGTGTACGCCGACTGGTGCCACCAGCTCAACAAGCACAAGGCCGCCATGCACGCCTGGGAGCAGCGGCAAGCGGTAAGTACTGCACTTCCCTGTGGCCCTGTGGCCCTGGGGGCCTGGGGTCCTGGCCACGTATTGCCAATATACTTTACGAACTCCTCGCCTCCATTGGGCCTCATGATATTCGTAAAAAGAGGGAAACGATCCAGTTGGTGGTATTCGAACCCGGTCCCGGAGCGTGAAAACACGATTGGTCGCTGGGACGAAGGGCACAACGTCGCGGGTTCGAGTACTGGCGGCGGCGTTCTCTTTTCCTTCACTCGGGCCTTTTTTGACCGCCACGCGACGAGCGTTGAAATCCTGCCGTCTCTGTCTTTAGCCTGGCTAAACACACTCACCTGTATTCTCTCTCTGTCGGCAGCAATGCGGCGTGAAGCAGGACGAGAGCGTGCTGCGCAGCAACGAGATCAGCCCCGCCAACCCGTTCGCGTGAGGCACGCTCGAGCCAACAGCGTGAACGAGTGATGAATGAACAAGCGAATGCATGAGCGAGTGAATGAATGAGTGATGAATGAATGATCGCCATGACGCGCACGACGACTTCGTCCGGCCCGAGTTGTCTGCCCGGCCCTCATATTGACAATAAACGGACCAACAGCCGGACGATGTTGTTCCAGAAGAGAAAGGTGTTCGTCTTCGAGTGGTGTGGCGCCCGGCTCGGCCCGGAGCGCCTGGTGCTTGTAGCTGTGATGTAGACGAGACGGGTGGTGGAGTGTCGGAGCCCGAGTACCTGTTTGGCCGTGTTTGGCGGTCACGCGGTCCCATGTGGGTCCATCGCGGTCCCGAGATTGTTTTTCCGGTCCCTCCACGGAGAAAGGCTAGATTTGTGGCGTTGTGTTCTAGATTTATGCTAATATGAAAATGCCGAATCCGGTGCCGGCTCGGGTTTTTTTTTGTCGTTGATCTGCTGCGGATGACTTACTTCTTTTGTGGCCACGTCGCTAAATCGCAATAATCTGTTAAATTTTTATAGTGATAATGCGTGAAACGCTTGTTTTCGTTGAAAGCAATTGTTCTATTTGTTTCTTTCGTTCGGCTCAGAAATTTGTTACCAATCCATGTAAAATGTTAATTGTACATACACGTGCTGTAAATTGAACAACTTCGCAATAAAAGTGTACATACATTTCAAGGAAAATGTTCTGTTTCGTCACTATGCACTTTCCCTGGTCTCCTCCTACACATTCTCAGCACAAACCGAGAGCACCACCGTTAAATTTTGAATCATCTGCTTTCACTTGGCAGAAGCTTGACTTTTTTCTTTTCTTTTTTTTCGGCTTCTCAGCTAAACTGACGAATCTCCGAGCACCACCAGGTGACACGTGCCTTCGCCTTTTCGCGCCCACCGCTTTAGATCCCCCGGTGCGTTTAGCCCGTCGAACACACTTTAGTGTTTTCGTCATCTGTCACACCGCCACCGCCGTAAAAGCCCAAGCGTGCTCAAGATTGAAGAAGAATCAACGGGGCGAGGGGAAAGAGGGAAGAGGTGCTAAGATGAGAGAGAGGGGGGGAGGGTTTGGGAAGGAGGAGGTGCTGAGGTAAAGAATGAGGGCGGGCGAGGCAAGCGAAGGGCTGGCCGCCTCGCCTGATAACGAATCACGGCGATAAATGGAAGGCAACTGAACAGCCCCCCTCCCCTACCCCTTCCCGCTCATCCACTCCCGACCTTCGGCAGCCCGCGCGGGCGAGACGGTGCCAAAGGAGCAAAGATGGCAGCAGAAAGAAGCTCTGATCCTCGGCAAGCCTCGCCTCGCGTCAAGGACTCGCCGCCTGGGCCAGGGCCCTGGGCACACACTACACCCTGCGGAGGTTTTAAGGATTCGCGCGCAAAAGCGTAACGAGATTAAAGGAAGTCGCTTTTCCCTCTTGTTTGCCTTGTTGTTGCTGTTTGATTGCTCGGAGGCTTGCTCGGAGGCTTGCTCGGAGGCTTGCTCGGAGGCCCGCGGGGCCCGAAGCACCGTCTGCAGGTGCAGCATGCGTAGTATCAGCGCGGCACTACGCCACGAAGCGCCACGCCGCACAAGCACGTGACATATCGCTCGGAAGAGAACGGTAAACGGTGTGGCGTCTCCGAGCGCGTGGCCCTGCCGCCGAGCCGAGCCGCCGCCGGAGAGACAGCCCGCATTTGCATCGAGCAGGCCAGGAGCATTTCTTCAGGCCGAGAGCATTTATTAACGTTACTCACGTTACTCACGTCTGCCGAAACTACTAAGTCGGGGGTTCCCAACCTTTTTCAGCCCGCGACCCCAAAATGGCTTCCAAAATTTTTCGCGACCCCAGGAACAAGATTACGCGACCCCACGCGACCCCATCTTTTCTCGGGGGGGGGATGTTTTTCGAAAATTAACTGCCACATTTTGAATTTTGACCGAATTTAGAGGGTTTGAGCAGGCGGTACCAACTCAAGATTTTCCTGTACACTGATTATATTTAGAGTATGATTACATGTGATTTCTTTTGATTATTTTATTATTTATCACTGATTATAGGAGGTTATCATGTTGATTATTGGGAAATATTGGGGATTATTTGAGCGCCGACCTCGGAAAGCTGTTAAAGTGTCGGAAATTCAATATTGGTGACTTTGGGTAGCCACTGCATCAAATTTAGTTGCGGTCATAGGCCTTCCTCGACGCCTTACTATTCTGAAGGCCCTACTCTTTCATGCCCTGCCTCGGGAAGGCTTTGACCGCTGATAATTTAGGAGCAGTGGTCTCGCAAACATAGTCAAACAGTGAATGAATTTCAGAAAATTACTGTTTTTGCTGACTTTGAGCGGTCACTGCATCCAATTTAGTTGCGGTCAAAGACCTTCCTCGACGTCTTACTATTCTGAAGACCCTACTCTTTTATGCCCCGCCTCGGAAAGGCTTTGACCGCTGATAGTTTGCGAGCAGTGGTCTCGCAAAAATGGTCAAAAGTGAATGATTCCAGAAAATAAACTTTTTGTGACTTTGAGCGGTCACTGCATCCGATTAGTTGCGGTCAAAGACCTCTCGACGCCTTACTATTCTGAAGACCCTACTCTTTTATGCCCCGCCTCGCAAGGCTTTGACCGCTGATAGTTTGGAGCAGTGGCTCGCAAAAATGGTCAAAAGTGATTGAATCCCCGAAAGTATGATTGTCATTTCATTGGATGATGTTGATTATTTCACTGATTACCAACTAGACGTGCAATGATTATCTCGTGTCCCTTTCGCTGCTGCTTCTCGCCCGGCCACACTAAGGAGGGCACAAAGGTGAGGCTGGCACGGCAGGCAATGAAGCCGTTGGGAGGATGCGCCTGACCGCGGAAGACTGGGGCCGACTGGGGCAGACCGGAGACGGGGGTAGGCTGGGGCTGCTGCAGGGCTGGCGGCCAAAGGGTTTTAGTGCGCACGGACGTCGGCCGGCCAGTGCGTGCTTCCAATCTGGCGCCTCTCGACGGGCGGGGCCGGCAGGGCCGGCAGGGCGGCAAGCTCCCCCAGCTGCCTCGGCGTGCCGGCCAGCTCGCCTCATGAAATCGGCACGCCGACCAGGCGCACACTCGCCTTCTCGCCTTCCAGGGTGTAGCTTCAGGGAAAAGGAGGGGGAGGGGTAATCACAGTTCTCACTTTACTGGGCCGGCGGCTGCCGCTCTGTGAGGTATTTCCATGAAACAATCCGCGCGCTCCACTGTGTTTGTGACTTTTCCAGCCCGCTGGGGAAATTGAGGGCGCTGCCGCCATGCCGCCGCGCTGCCCGGTGCTCCCCGCCCGGCTTCCCGTCCTGCGAATAGTCACTGCCTAATGACACCAGAGACCCTCATCTGCCGAATTCTCCTCCCCGCAGCGTGTGAGGAACCGGCGCCGCCCGGAGGCGCTGTTGCAAGTTGGAGACGACGGCGACACGACGCAGACGGCGGCTGGCCGCGGCGGGGCGGCGGGGCGGCAGCTCATCGGACAATATGACAAGGAAACGAAAGCGAAATATGTTTTTCTGCCTCCTCCTTCGGAGGGGATGCTGCCGCGGCCCCCGGGGCGGCCACGGACAAATCGCAGTCGCGAAAGTTGCGGTGGAAGTTGGTCTGACGGGCCGACGGGCGGGGCGGGGCGGGCCGGCCAGATTGAAAGACAGGCGCCAGTCGTATTCCGCGCTGCTCCTTGCTCTCCTCGCTGCAAGGGCGAAGGGTTGCGAAGGGCTGTGGGCTGCCGAGGGCTGCCGAGGGCCCAGTCATGCCCATCCCTCCCAGCGGGACCGCGGCGCGCACGTGCTCGCAGCAACAGGTCCGCGACGCTGGACCGCTGGACCCGGCCGTCGGCTGCCGTTTTCGGTGGACCGCCAGGTCGGCCAGGGCGGCCAGGGCGGCTAGGGCAAGCGGGCCAGGAGTCGCGTGACGCGTCCCTTTCCCGTTTCCGCCGCTTAGGCCGCTACCACTTGCAACCCCGCGACCCGTCCAACCCTCTTCCGGCTCTCGAGATCACATCCTGCGCGCGAGCGACGCCAAATTTATGGAAACTAGCTGAAAAGAGTTGCGGCGCAGAAGTTGGCAACCTTCACGCGACCCGATTTATTTGTATGCAAATTGAGCGAGCAGTCAAGTTGGTAAGTGAGTTCCTTTTCTTTTTCACGACCTCCCCTACTTTCGTCAACCTCATCTTTCCTTGATCCAGTTTTTCGTTCTCCTGCTCTTCACCACCGCCACCATCACCCCCGGCCAAGTCCTGACCACCCCGCCGCACCCCGCCCCGCCCCAGGCCGTACAGAGTGTCATATTCACGAGGTGAATAAGGAGCCATCCCACTCTGAATACGAATCCGAATGTGTCCCTTTGAATGTGAATGGGTGGCCGGGGCGGCGCGGCGTCGCGTGGCTGCAACAAACCGGATGCACTCGTCTCGCGATGTATGCCGCTGCTTAACTGGCGTTCCAAATGTGAGGCGGGGGAGGGGGTGGGGGCTCTGAGGGTGGCCTGGGCGAGTGTATGCAGTGCATGATGATGGCCGTCTCGGCGCCAGACGTGTGGAAACAGCGGGCTGGGGGTGCAAAATGTTTATGCTCACACCATTTTTCTTTTGCCTCTTTTTTATGCTTCCTCACGCTTTATCCCTCTCCCCAGAGTTCTTGGTCTGCTCGCGATTGAAGAGAGATGACGAGGTGGGGGTGGGGTGTGGTTGGCGTACTGCGCTGGTTCGGGCAATTAGCACGGACACCATGACGGCGCTGTCCGGCCCTGCTCGGCCAGCCCTGCTCGGCCCTGCCGCGAGCGTCGGTGGCGTTGGAGGCGGGGCGGTCCGCAGGTACGGCAGGTTCACGTCGAGAACTGTCAGTCCAACTCCGCTGACTGGCGTCCTGGGCGGGCCGGGCCGAGGGCGGCCGAGGGCCCAGGCCCGGGCAGCGCTGGAGCGCCAACTTGTGTACTGTGTCTGGAAGATACAACTATAACCAGCCCCACTCCTTATCACGGACTTCGGAGGCAGACGCCGCGGACGTCGAGGTTTCGGTGAGGCACGGCGGAGATTTTCCTCTTCAGGAGTACGCGGCCTGGCGGCTGCCCATCATGAGCCGCGGGCGGTAAAATCAACGTGGATGAAAGCGGAAAGCAGGACGGAAACGGTGGGACTCGAACGCGCGCTACAAAAGCAATGCGCATAATGGAGAAGGTCGAGATGACGGACACCACGGATGGCACAACGGCGCGGTGTACAACAGCTCGAGCCAGGTGGGCGGACATGGAGTTGTGCTTGAAATATTGAACGCTGGCGCGCGTAGCTGTCGGCTCCGTGGGTTGCGAGACCGACTGATGCCTGCCAGCCCTGGCTGCCTGGCTCCACGCGCCGCCGCCGCCGGGGTTGGGGTTGCCTGTTGTCTCCCCCGGGAGTCGCGGTGGTGTGGTAATTGTTTTTCCCTACCTGCACCACTCCGGTCCGACCGGGTCCGGCGGGGGAGTGACCGGATTAGATTTTGTTTGTAATGGCCGGCGGGGTGGCCGGGTGCAGTGACTGTCCGCGTACGTTTCCGCAGTCGGCCAAGCGACAGTGGAGTCGTTTGTCCGTCCACCCAGCCGGGGCCGCCAGCCTGGCCACATGGCGCCTCGTTCCTCGTTGCATTCGGAACCGATGAGGCTTTTACAGCCCCGAGCCAGTCGCCAGGCCAGCAGCC